ATGAATACAACGGAGGGTGGGGAAGCGCAACAAAGAGCAGCATAAATCGTCTCTGAGAAATATATACAAAATATTTTTACTCGGCTGGTTTTTTTTAATTTCGATACGATTATATTCGCAACAAATTATCGTTGACTTCCTGCAAGTGGCACTTGCAGTGGACGATAAATTTAAACAAATTCTACGCTCGCCACTGCGACCCTAACAATTTGGTCACTGAATAATATAAACCAAAAATAGTGTGTTTGGCGTAAACTATTTTTTATTCACTCGCTTGGAAAAAAAACAAATCATATCTGAACATGACTGCTTTTCTACACATATTTTATTTTTGCTCAGAAATCAAAGCTGGCGAAAATAAAAGTAATACAATTTTTTAATTTATTAATTATTATCCTTAGTTTGTAAGACGACTTCAGGTTCAAAAATTAATTAAAAATGTCCATTTTGGCAAGTAAATTTTTAAAATTCTAGAACAGTTAATTAATTTTACAATATTTTTGTTTTAAAATTTATGCTGGCACTGATTTTAGAAGAATACAATGCACTTTCATTACAAAATTTTTCCAAAGAAAACATGTTAAGTTTCCAGATTATCAAAATAAATAAAAATAGCTTATTTCTTAACAAGCTCCATACTAAGTCTAATTAGCCCCACATATTTTTGAAAACGAATGACTTAATTCGCCAAAATTTCCATCCGAAGAGTGAATTTTTGGGGTGAATTTATATGTGAAGAGGATTTTTTCCACCACAGTCACAGTCTAAAAATATTCTACCACTAATGGCTGTAAAGGACTATTAGTTTTTATTACACGTTTTCCTCTTTCCAGACTCGCGATTTTTACCGTCTGATTAATTTATAGAATTTTCGTTGTTGCTGCGCGTGCTGGAAATTGAATGAAAAAGGATGCGCGGCCCGGTGACATTTATCCGAGCAGTCGGCCGCAATTTATGTTTATGGGCGCGCAGCACGCATAGCACTCGACTCTTTTTGCGCCTCAGCTGCATACACAGCTAGCGTAGCGGGGGTTGCAATTTGCATGGCGCGCCCTTAAACAAATTTGCGTCTAGTTGGGAGCATCTCTCTCTCTCGCAAGCGCGGCGGAGGATGGGTTTAATCGGGTGTTAATAAAATACACGCGGATCTATAAATATTCATCGTAAAAAGTAACGACCACGTGCTCGTCGCTGCGAGTTATGCAAATATACACGGTATGTCTGAATTATGGCGGTCATTACGCCACCGCAAGGCCCATTTGCTCTTTCTGTCTCTCTCTCTCGGGAGGATTGCGTTTCGGAAAATGTGTGTATGTGTTTGCGACGCGACGAGTAGCATTGACGTCGTGTTAAATCACTTGTGCTTTTACAAAGTCTGCATGTAAAGGGAGAGCAGAAAAATGATCCTTCGAAATTGGCTGATAAGCGTAATTCCGAGAAATTTGCATTTGAAATTATTTTTCAGGAAATTTTTGTTTACAAAATTATGGGCCAGACCGAAATAGTTTCCTTCCGATAGAAAGAAATTACCAAAGCGCATCTCTAAGTTAAAAAATAAATTTGAATGAATTTATCCTCATAATATTGATTTTATTAATTTAGTTTGATAATTGTTCATTATTTTCAATTGAAATTAAAAATAAATTTGAATTCGTATTTCAACTTTATTTTTCGTTTCAAATGATATTTTAATGAAAATAAAAGTGAGATGATTACAAATTACAATCCATAATTAAAAATGTTAAAAAAAGTAATATGCTATGCTAATACTTCCTTTTGAAATTAAACCAGGATAAAATCTACGACAACAATTATACTATCCCAAAAAAGTGAATAACAATAAAAGTTTATTGAAACTGCAGCATTATATAATTTTGTCTAATTGCCATCTGCACCGATTCCGAAATTAAAATAATAAAGCTGCCGTACTAGGGGGGTGAGAAAGCTTAATTTTATTGAGTCGTTTCCGGTCAAACTCCACTGGGGTGACCAAAGGAAAATATTAAAGAGCGGTCACTGGGGAGGCTTTTTGTTTTAGGGGTCGTAAAAAGCTGGCTGGCTGGCGCCCGGGGGATGAGAACAGATAAGAGATCTCGCTGCTTTTATTGGCGTCGCTTTTAATTGCTCGCCCTCGGAAATTTTAATCCACTCGCTCTCGCTCAACCCTCCCCATCCACAGGTGATGCTTCTAATACACGCTGGAATGCTTTCGAGAGCACTCGGATGGGTGCGACAGAGTGGAATTTAATGCAATTGTTCGAGCGGAATGGTCTGCTAGGATTTTAGAAAAAGAAAGTAGGCAACCGAACTGCAGATAGGTCGTGCCAGTAGCATACTTTGCGCTATATAATTAAATTTTTATTGCCAAATGCAGGAGCAAAATTTCATTAGTGGTGGGAAAATAGGTACAACCTTTTGAACGTACTAGTAAAAAAAAAAATTCATATCGTATTAAAGCCCATTTATTATTATTGGAAAACTTGATATTCTCAAAGCACATTTTAATTGATAAAAAAATCAACAATGTTTCGTCCTATTATCGCCTTGTTGATTATATAACAATTTATTTTAAAATTTTAACCGTACGTCATAAATTTTGAAAAAGAAAATTCACCTTCAATCTCTTAGTTTCTACGAAATAACAAATTAAAAGAAATCTCCTCATTTGAAATAAAAACCGTTTGATAGAATAAATTTACTTATTGTTAGATAAAGGAAAAAATCAAGAATTTTTTCAGTATTTTGTCTTTTCCGTAGCTATAACTACATAATAATCAACTCAACCAGGGGGAAATCAATTACGTAGGGCAGTTAATTTGCCTACTTTTTTCCAAAATGCTCATTTTTATTTCATTACATAATTTAATTTACTTAAAATTTGTTGTTAATAATGAGATATAATTGCAATCATTTCAAAAATGGATGTAAGCAAAAATTGAGTATTATATAATTAATTTGTATCAATTGGAAGCGCCTAGATGAACTAATTTAATTTTAAATATATTTTTTAAGATTATTGGTTAAAACAAATTATTTAATTGTCAAAAGTTTTAAAAAAAAAATCAAAAGAAAAATTAATTATCAATGTTATTGACAATAATATATTTTATCACATAAAAAATAATTTATTTAAAATCAAAAACAAAACTTTAGGTAAATATTTTTATTTAAACAAAAACAATTTTTTAAATTTGTAGTTATAATTAATTAAAATGAATAAAATTAATTTATTATGGTTTATGCAATACATAGTGTATCATCATATATAATGAAGCAATTTTCCATAATTGCAATATCGATTACATACACATTCGACATTCAATATGCTTCTCCGTGTGGTGACAATACACACACGTTCTAGAGTTGATTACTCCATTTCAGGTGTTAAACAAGAGAATTTTTCCCGAAAATTATATGTCCATTAGCGTATGCGTGTGTGGCCGATGTGCGTAACTCGAAACTTATCTCAATTATATATAGTTGGGGGTCAGGGGAGGAGGGAGTGGTTCTTCTTCGGCGCATACATAAATAATGCAACACGAGAGAGCGAGTCCATTTGTCGACTGAAACAAATACTCTGCTTTCAGCTTAGGGTGATGAGTCGACGCAAAACACGCGACCGTGTCTCTCTTTTTAGGCGGAAAAGTAGGTACGTCGGTCGGTCGGTGCGGCTAATCACCCAAAAAGACCGAAATAATGCGCATTATTACGCCGAGGGTCAAACGATTTCGATTTGTAAGCCACGTGTCTCCTGTTTGGCGGAAAAACCACCACGGCGGCGGTCAGCCGCGATTTTCGATTTGTGAGATAAAATGGAAATAATTTTCCACTGTCTGTTTGTATGTGAAGAGAGACAGGAAGGGCGTAATTGTTTTATATATAGTCCGAGCGATAGACGCAATTTATACATTTTATTCTATTTGGATGTGCGTAATGCTCGGCACGCGAGCTGCGAGTTTAGTGGATTGTGATTAATCCCGAGGCTTATTGGAAATTCCTGGCGTCGCCGACCAGCAGCTTTGTTTGATTGTTGGCACCCTGTTGTACAGCAGGGGTGCGATGTACAATCGGATCATTCGGCGAAATAATTGTCACTGAATACGGAATCAGAGAAAGGTTCAGCTCATCCTTCCGAAAGGATGTTTTGGTGCAAACAATCATTTGCGTGAGAGTTTCCCACTGGTTTTCTATGTGAATAAAATAAATAAATCGATATAAAGATTAAAAAAAAAATGTGAAATAATGTAATTTTTTTAATTTTCACACTCTTGTGTGTTTTCTCTAATGAATATATATTTAATTAAAATTATTTTTTGTTCATAATGAAAAAATATTTCAAGTTTTTATTTAAATTCAGTATAATTTTACAGAAATATGTCTAATGCCTGAATTTGGAAACGTCGCTGTCCTAAATTGCAGCTTTAAGTAATCCACATGCCAAAAAATGAAATAAATAATGACATGGAGTTATTCAATATTTGATTGCAAATTAAAATTTATTATTAAATTTCTTCTCCTGTTAAAATGCACACATGATTTTTTTAATAAAATTGTTTTTTAAGTAAATTAAAATTTAAAATGTCAGTAATTATTACGTCTTAATCTTTTAAAGCGTGAAAAATCTTGAATGATGTTATCTTAACTAAAAAAAATGTTGATATGAAATGTAAATAGTTACAACAAGATCTGATCCAGCTTATAGCAATTAAATATGAGAATTAATTATATTAATTGAATTATTAATAAAATATAATAATAAAAAATAAAGACACAGGAAGATTTGCGGTGGACCGAGCGAGAAGTGCGGTTACAAACAAAACAAACAAAAGCTCCAAAAATACATCAAATAAACAAAGTCAAGGGCAACCTGCGATAAGGCTCGAAATAAAATTTGGGATTCACACAAACACACGCGAAGGGATGTTTTGACCGCTGAATTGTTTGTTTTCAAGGTGAAGGGCAGAGGAAGGAACGTGTGGTGGATCGTATGGATCTCTTTGGAATATAAAAGGAGCCACTTTTTTCTCATCAAATCACATTCTTTCCAGCTTCTGGCAAGTGTGGGTAAGTTCATCCTCATTTTAGAACTATTTTTAATTAATTAACGTTTAATTTTTCAATTGTTACTGCAGTTTTACTCATTTTAGTCTTAAGACTACCTCTATCCATGTATTTTAAACATGGCTTTGAAATATTTTTTCCTTCTGCAATATTTTCTTTCAATACTTTAAGAATCAAAAATAAATTCAGGGATTGAAAGGGAAGTCCCGGGGCAAATTTAAAATCATAGATATTTCATACCTTTTGCTACTTATGTGGATTTTTCACGCGCATAGTAACATGTTAAATTATTCTGTTTGCAGATTCTCTGATCGTGTCAATAGAAGACGAAGCGTCAAAATTATGAGGAAACTTGTGAGTATTTTTCTCTTGATGAGATGAAATTTCTGATTAGAATGATTTTTCATTAATAGGAGTCGTTAAGTTCGGGATTTAATCCATTAAAAACCTACAAAGTTTAAGTCACGTAAAGATAATTAGAGAAACTTGGATCACTAAAAATAATTTTTTTAATGCTTTTACCGTACATTATCTAAAACTGGGGTAATTTTATTTTTATCCCTCTGGACGGTTCGATAGGGAAGTATACTTAACTATAGCAACATAGAAATATCTTATAATTATGATTTATCCTATAATTTTATTTCATTCAACATTTAAAATTACGCATTAAAATTAATGATTTGCATGTACTTGAAGGTTTTTGTTGATGTTGGTTTATTTTAAAAATCGTATTCAAAATTTAGATCAATATTTGTAAAAAGGAATCTATTTTTTTTTTTTTTTTTTTAAATCCAAATTGATCCCTTCCTCAACTACCAAATTCAAACCTGCTTTAATATAAAAAAAGTGTAACACGCCGTTGGGAAGGGCAGGTCACATGGAAATTAAGGTTGGCCAAAAAGATCAAAAAAGAAAAGTATTAATTTCAATCTTAGAAGAGGGACCAAAATTCAACCCCAACTATTCGTCAATATTCAAATCAAATATAATTAATTTTAAAATGCAAACCGCCTGAGAATTGAGATTTTTTTTCTTATCCACTAAAAAAATTTCAGATGTTGTTGTTCGCTGCGGCAGCAGCGCTGGTGACGATCGCGGCCGCGCAGGAGGACTTTTCCTTCAACGCCGAAGACGATGACTCTGAAGACGAGGTGGCGCTGGACAATGTGGAGGGTGATGCGCTTTCACGCGTGGTTCGCCGAGTGACTCGTCGGCCACCCCACACGTTCACGACCCCCCGTCGGCCCCCTCCCATCGTTCGGCCCACCGTCAACGGCCCCGCCGACCCTCCCAACCGCGCCGACCCCAACTCGATCTTCAGTCGGCCGGTGCGACGCAACCAACGCAACTGGTACACCATCCCTGAGGGTTGGGCCCTCGAGCACAACCAGCGCCGCTTCTCGCGTCGCCCCGGCGCCCAACGCTTCAGCGTCACCATCGACCCCGTCAACAACCGCGTCGCCCGTCACGACCTCTACCGCCCACCAACCTTCTACACCGACCGCAACGGCGTCGTCAGACCCTCCATCGCCCAAGGGCGTCCCAGAGTCTAGGAACCCCTTATTGTACTCTTGAACTTCACAATTTCAAATTAGATTTTACTGAAAAATAAACCATGCAACATTTCTATGATCATTAATTTTTGGAAAACATTCTAACTGTATTCAAATGATGACAATTAATAAAGTATAAATGAAAAGTTAAAATTTGTTTTATTTTTTTTCTTGTCTTTGAAAATTATCAACTAAATTTTAAAGTGTCCATCTTGTTGAAATTGATTGAAAAAGAAATCTCTTTTTGAAGCATCGTTTTAGTCTTTTTTGAGCTTGACAATGAACTTAAATTAATCAGATCACATTCTAATGTTTCTAAGCTTTTTACATGAAACTTATCAAAATAAATAATCTTTCATTAAACCAAACCAAACTAAAAGAGCTAAAAACAAAAACAAATGGACAAAAACACGCGACGGTAAATTTTATGGCTGGATATTCTAAAAACACATGAAATTCCATTTCAATTATTCATCAAACATTAAAAGCTTTTAGTGTTTTTTTTTTCTTGCACTCTTAAGATCATTCATTATTTTAACATTGCGGACAAATAGGCATCAATATCCTGTATATTTTATTACTAAGTAAATTCAATTAGTACACCTGAATTGTTTTTTAGTTTATTTAAAATATTAATATACAATTTGAAAATAAAAAATATTAAATTTAAATAAATTATTTATATTTAATAATACTTTGATGGCTAAGCTATTATTGAAATCAAAAGAAATTTCAATTTTCTTCTATTACAATATAATATTTAAAGTAAATAAAGAATAATAAATTAACAATGATATAACTTTAAATTATATAAAATATTTATTAATAATTCTTTTATTGATCAATGTCACAAGCAATAAATTTAAATTTGTAAAAACTTCTTTCTTCCTTCCTCTTTCTCTGCCACACGTTTTTGCATATTTTAATCAGGAACTAAACGCCTAGTTTTAGACGATCCAATTTGAATGTGAATAAGCGACAGAATTAATTTGGAAAAAAAGCGAGGGCATCTCATTCAATCAGTCGCAGGAAGGAGAGATACATCTTAATCTGCATAAACACAGGAAGGCATCTATTTCACGAGAGCCCAATTTGCATCTCATTTAACTCATCCAAGCTGATTTTCTGTGGGGATCCGATTTAATTTGCTCCGAGCCAAATCATTAAACTCTTCGGAATGAGAAAGAAAATTCTTGGCTCGAGAGTCAAAGACAAAATGTTGAAATGTATAGGGGGTGCAACGACTGTAGCTTCCTGTTAAGCAAAGTGCAGAGGAGAGAAAGAGATGCAACTTATATAACTGGGGGATGATCGCCTCTGCACCCTTAACAGGCCGTAAAACGATGCGAAAGGCGTCACGCGTGCAGACCCGCTTATTTCTTATTAACGCCCTGGATTGCATTATGTTTATTTATTTTTATATTGCGCCGCCTCGTGTCGCCGCCTCGAATTTTTATATTTTAAACCGTATTTTATGGTCTTTTCTCCCATGAGTCACCTGGTGGAATAATAACAATATGTGGAGGCTGCGTAACCGCGCGTTTATGTTCCATATTCGAGACGGCGTTTTTTTTTACGAGCAGGCAGAAAAATATTTTCACCTCCTCTCCCTATCCAATGGCGGGGGCAGTTGGTTTCATAATAAAAGCATATTCGTCGCGGCCGTAAAACACGCAGAAAGGGGCACTTGCTCACTTTAAATTGGCTCGTTTTGCGTGTTTGATGTAATATATTATTTTTTCTCGACGGGATGATTGGCGTGCATCAGATCGTAAAACCATCAAATCTGTTGCCAAAACTTTCCAATTTTATCGGGCGTGGTAAATTTTTTATTTGAAAACAAGACAATGTCTCAAATACTACAATGTATTGTGCTGAAATCTGTGTAACACAACAAATATATAGTTTGAATTTGAACATAAATTTTATTTTATTTTTTTGAGAAACCCATGCATAAATCATTTTTTCTGTTTGGATTGGGAAAAAATGAATAAATAAAATAATTGTTTTGTGTTAATATCAACATGAGAACAGGAGTTGGAACAAATAAAATTGACAAAACACAAGCAGAATTTTGTTAAAATCATAAACTAGACAACTTTCTCTTTTCCTTTTTGTGTTTTCATAATTGCAACAAAAATTGATATAATAAAATATAGACCACAAAGTTAAAATCTTTCAGACTCAATTAAAAAAATGACAAAATTCTAAATAAAGCATATTTACCAGTTTTTTATTTTTCTTCTTCTTCTTCCCTTTTTTCCATTTGTCAAGTTTCATGCACGCATTTCATTAGTGCAATTTCAGCATTTTTTCAATTACATACCAAACTGGTGAATGATCTTTTTGATCTCGTGCATGTCTTTCTGATCTGACTAGATATTCCACCCTCTCGTATAATATTAGCCAGCTTGGCACAAAAGCTACTTAGCCGCACCAATAATTGAGCGGCAAAACGCATGTGATTGCGGAGAGCGAACAAAAGCGAGGAGAATGTAAAATAATCTCCTGACAGGGTGCTGCTGGGTAAACAAGAGAGATGACAATAAGGAAAGGAGAGACGCAGCATCCTTTGATGTGGAGCAGCCCTTTCTTTATTATTCTCGACGTACGCACTTGTGATATATCTGTTGAGATATGTTGGAATAAAAAGTGCCCCTTTTTGTATGTGGTGCTAATAACAAAGGCCGAGCAAGAAAGAAGAAGTGCGTGTTCAGCCACTTTTTTTCTGATGTGTGACACCTCAATTCGTCTGTGTCAGCCGAGAGAGTAATCCGAGCGGCGCATTTCGATGATTAACGGCGAAAGAATTATTGTATGTCCCCGTTTGAGTGGCTTCTATATTTGCTTCGACGAGAGATGAGCCGCACAATCAAAATAATGCGCTCTGTCAACTTGCGCCCGATCGTCGGGTGACGGATGGAATTCTTCGCCCGATTGTATATTTACCGTCTAGACGTGGACAAAAAGTATTTTTTTTTATAAGGTGCCGGTTTTCAATAGGATCACTCCCTCGGAAAAAGAAGCGCAACCATCCGGAGACGCCACGAATAAATACAGTGTGTAATTGATTGGGCCAGACACAATTGTTATGTGCATGATTGTAAACCACAAAATTCCATGCTGATGTAAAAGTCAAATATTGCTGGTAAGAAAAATTGTATTCAGATAAATCTATAATTCATTTTGCAATTTTAAGTTATTTAATTACCATTTTAATTCATAAAAATTAATAAAAATATAATCTATATAATTTTGGATTTTGTTTAAGATTAAATTATCAAACCAAATTCTTTACTTTTAACTTAGTGAAAACTTTCATTCCACACAAAACTATCCTACAAGTAAGTTTTTTTTTATTCTGATAAATAACATATTTTAAGCAATAATTGTTTAAATTGTTATGTCAATTAATCGAAGAGACCCATTGTAAAATTTAATACTTATAGTTCTTCTGCGTTGGCAATTTGGTCTAATGAAATCTGAGTTTTTCTCAATAATTAAATGGAATATTACATTTTATAAAATATGTGGATATTTAAAAAGAAATTACCAAATCCAAAAGCTTTTATGCATTTAGGATAAAGTTCATTTCAATTTAAGAACATTAAAACAAGATTTAACATCCACTTTAATGCAATTACAATCGTGAATTCCCATGAAGACGTTGACATCCGTAACCGACTACGATTGTAAAATTTTAAAGGGGTGAAAACAGATGTTAGTGGTAATGCGATCTACAATAAAATCCTCCTTTATCTTCGCGTTTCAAGCCTATTAAGAAGACATAAGATTTCAATTAAAAACTTAATTTGCATAATTGTGCATTGTTTCTTTTTTTATCAATTTACAACTCGAGAAATGTGTCTGAAACTCTACCCTGGGAAAATTACTCTTTGATATTTTTTTTTTACTGATGTCGCCCATGAGAAAGTCAGAAAAAATATAGAAGGCGCGTCACCTCAGCAACCCTTTTGTTGCATCTCACAGAGGGACGATTTTTTTCAATATCGGAATCAGATTTTATCATGTGAGAGGGAGAGAAGAATATTTTTGCACAAACGCAAAGGAGAATTACACACAAAACTCGCGAGATATCATCAGCGTTCATTCACCAAAGTCAGCCGAGTGTGAAGAATGGCGCGTATAATATATATTTCTCGTGATTTACCTGATGTGTTCGGCGATAACAATGGAATAACCTGCGCTTATTAAAAAATACTTTGCTCGCAGCCTCCAATTATTTCATGCAATACTGCAGCCAGTTTTTCCCACGCGAAATACGCACCCTTTGCCGCGAGAGCGTGGAGAAATTTTTCACAAAAAGATAGGAGGACGCACATATTGTTGTCAGCCAACAATGGGAGAAACACATTGGAGGGCACAGGTGTCTGAAATCGACGAGACAAATGACGAGATTTTTCACGTTCATTTTTTCTAAAGCCGGCGCGACTTCCCCTCCGAGGCGGAAATGCACCTGAAAAGTCGGTGGAGTGTGCAAAATTGCTGTGCGCTTCAAAATACACAATATGTCACAACTCATCAGCGTAATGTGGCTGAATATTTTCTGGCAAGTGGGGAAATTTCATATAAAAACGAGAAATTAAAGGAAAATATTTTTATGATTTGAACCTATAATACCAAAATAAATGTTCAACAGTTGACTTGTGCTGTTTTTAAAAAAATAAAATTTCTTACAGAACAAATTTCATCAGAAAAAGCTGAATTAAAAAGGCCTAATATCCCCGGTTTCCTATAAGGTGTTATAATAAATAATTTATTTAAAAGTTTTAAAAGATTATACATATGAGAGGATAGAGGATTCTTTGCATTGCTTTGCATCTCAATAATTTTTGTGACGATCCATTCATAAAGTTTTTAATGCATGGCCCTATACTTACTGAAAAATTGTATATTTGGTCACGATTTTCGTCCCTGCCATGGGCTAGAAAAACAGAGAATCACAGCCAAAATAAAAGCCACAGATAACAATTGTAAAGTAATGTTTTAAAATTAACTTCCTCAAGGACCTCTTTAGTATTATTTGTGTAAAAAAAAACTTATTAATTTTAGTATTGTTTAACAAGTTATAGCAGTTTCAACTTAAACGTTAATTATAAACATAGAAATTTAAATAGATTATTAAAATAAAT